CTTAGCATTCTATTGCCACGAATGCTAACATTATATTGACTTCGAAAATGAAATCTCTAATTTGAGATTTGAAAATCAGGTCACCTTTGCCCCAATGACAGTCATTTTATTGGCACTTCGAGTTCCAAAGAAATTAAACTTAAAGAAAACCTAGTGGTGACTGAGAGTCACCTCTCGAGTGCAAACGGTTAAAACAGCCACTGTTAAGTTAATTCAGGTATGTATTGTATTTTAATATTTGTGCACGCTGCCTCCATATAGGAAGATCGAGCAATTCCTCTTTACAGAATTATAATATTAATTTACTAATATTATATTTCTTTTTCAAATACTTTCTATTTCGAAAGGTAAAATAAAATTAAAGCAATCCAAGAAGGGCAAGTATCAATCTCATGAATAGTATGAATCTCATTCTCCTCATTTCTATTTGCATTCATTACTAATTTATCTAATAAATTGATTAGTTGGACTTTACTATCACATTATTAATGAAATAAATTTATCGAAACATGAGATGAAATATGAGGTCTAGTCTTGTAAAGGTCTGGGTAATAGAGACTTCATGTTCAGAGGGTGAAAGAGGTAATGTACCGGAGGAAATGGCTTCGAGAAGCAAAAAGTATCCAGCGTCCCGTGGGAAGTGTCGGGGACAGGATGATGATAACGTAAATAAGATCGCTTCCTCCCTATCAACGAAGGACACAAAGCTACGCTAATGAGCTTATTAAACGAGCTCCGATACAAATTGACGATCATTTACGAAACTTCCTACAGAACATAGTGATATGAAGTCATCAATAGGGTTTTATTAAGTCCTTGCAACGTTGGATCGTTTTTCATTGCAATGATACTCATCATTTTTTTATCGAGAATTTCAACAATTGTTTTAGGTTGTTTTATTTAGCAAAGAGATTCAAATTCCAAAGTCAAATTACAGTTGGAAGTGTTATATATTGCATGAACTTAACGAAATGCTTGAAATTACTTCAAATAATTTAATTTGTTATCATATAAGCATTAACATTCATTACTAACCCTTTGACAGCGAAGGAGATATACATATACCCCCCAGAAATGGGGTCAGAGAAATGTTTGTAATCGTTAAATAAATTTTTACAAAATATCAGCTTGTAGGGAACGATGAGACGGAACTTTTTTATATTTACAGTTTATTCATGGGATGCTTAGTTTCGAAAATAAAAATTAAAATGTTTGAAGTTCGTTGCAAAAATTGAATTTCAAGAAAAAGGTCTTCTAAGTTTTTAATTTTTATCTCTGAAACTAAACGTCGTATGAGTAAACTATACACATAAAAAAGTTTCGTTTTGTCATTCTCCATAAGGTGATATTTTTTTTCAATTCGATTTTTCAACTGCTTTTTTTTTTCTTCGAGAAAACAGCAACAGAAAAGGTCTTTTAAGTTTTTAATCTCTATTTTTGAATAAATTTTTTGTAAAATTAAAAAAATGACAATTTTTAAAACAAGATATCAAACTGCGCTCGTAAAAAAGCATCTCTTGTCTAAGACGGTGAGACAGGCGATAAATTTGCACGAATATCGTTATGAGCGCCGCGTAAATTAGCCACGAGTCCGTGATAAAACCTCTGTGTCCCCGTTAGGAGCACAACTCACCGCGGAAAAGAGGCTCGTCAAAAGGAAACGCGAACAAACGTCAAACTTCCACGGCGTTATTCGCGCCAGGTACATTAATCACGTCCGCGGCTAAACGGCAACGTTAATCCGACATCTATGAATCATCGAATAAAACGTTCTATCAGCATTTGCCAAGACTTCGCTCCGCTAGATTTAATCGCAGCCTCTTTAAGTCCAAACGTACTCCATTAGGGAGATGAATAATGCCCGCGCCATTCTCCCTCCACTCGCTGCTCGTCGACGAAGCAGGTATTTCCAAACGGGATCGTTCGTTTCCCCCGGTGAGGTGAAAAATGCATGTGCACCATGCGCGTTAGCGAGCACAGACACAAAGGAATTTAGAGAAAAACTGCACGCGCCCAAGTTTCAAGCGTAAAACGCCCAGCGCGTCTCGTTAGCGCGCGAACAAAGGCGCGACCAACGTCTCTGTTAGGAATTCGCGCCTCTAAGGGAGGCTATTCTGGTTCGTCGACTCAAAAATGCCTATTTTTGTGATATTGGTGATCTTGAAAGTGTACTGGTAAAAACTGTTTAATGAAATATTGGGAGAAATGGTGATAAACGAAGCATTTGACTGATATCAAAAAAATATATATATATTGTATTTCTTTTATTTTAATTCCAAGAAAATATGTACTGTATAATAGCATCCAATGATTTCATACAAAAGAATGTGGTAAATGTATACTGTTTAAGGTATGTATTTTAAATAGATATATCGTTGGAAAAATTCCTGAATATCAGTACTCCCTTAATCTAAAAATTAGTGGTTATTATTAAGCTACACAAATATGTAAACATATTTACGAATTAGCGGAAAGAATTATTAATACGAAATTAGCAGAAACATAGCTCGAAGAATATACTTTCATTATACATAAAAAATATTAGTATCACATATTCAGCACCGCTAGAAAAAATTCCAAAATATTAGTATTTGTAAATAATATTACAATCTTCTTGCAATTAATCTATGAACAATTTAAATATCCCCCAAACTATTCGCGCCTCCACTTATGCTAATACACAGTTCAAACACATGCATTCCTCTATCCACCCACAAGACTTCATTCAAATCCCACCGTTACACCTCGCAGCCGCTTTATTGGCCGCAGGGCTACACTACAATGTAAACGAGCGCGAACTTTTTCAATTAGCCATTCTGACCCCCCAATCCCTCCGGAATTCTCTTCACTTACACCGGTCGTTGTAAATGACTCTTACCAGGGACAAGGCAGGTGCATGTACCCTCGCACGCCTTAATATATTTACTGTACTATACGCGAGTTTCTCCCGCATTGGTTATTCTACTCTCGCACGCCCACGCCGCGGATGTAACTAATCGCATTCCACGATTAGAAAATCCGGGCGTGCCCTCGGCATCGCGATGCACATGTTCCGATAAAGTCTGGTATTTCGCGGTCGTGTAACGCTCGGGCTCGTCAGGAGGACGTGCAACAAGGGGGGCCTCATGCGTTTCGAAAAACGGGGTCGGTGTTTTTATTTTCACGCTAGGATGTTACGCGATGGGAACACCTGACCCGTTTCACAGAGAAAAGGGAACGCTCGCGTGCGGCCATTTTTGGTAATCGACGGGGAACGGAAGTTGTTACACGTTGTTGAACAGCCATTTTTTATTCATTGCTTTCGAGTGATTTATTGAAATTATTTGTATTTAGCTAGGTTAATGGGGAATGGTACTTTTCAGGTTAAAGGAAGTATTAATATTTAGGAATTTTTTCTAGCGATACTGAGTATGTGATATTAATATTTGTCATGTACATTGAAAGTACATTCTTTGAACTATATTTCTGATAATTTCGTATTACTAATTCTCTTGAGTAATTTGTAAAAAAAATATA